CATCGGGCACTTATCATCTGGGGAGAGGATGATCAGATCATCCGGTACAAGCTTGCATATGTAAGTCCATGTTATTTTTCTGATATATGTACTTCGAAGTCACAAGACTCACAACTGAAGTATAGCATAGTTTACGTTTTTGTGAACCTGTTAAAAGGGCCTTAATATAGAAAACAAGCTCACATACACTAATGTCTCGCTCGCAAAAAAAAAAAGAAAAGAAAGTGAGCATTAATGACTAGTGAAAACCCTCATCTCAGAGATAGGCAAAATAGCGGATTTTCTTTCATATACAGCCCCCACTTAGTAAGAAAAAAAAATCCATGAACTCCCCTGTGTAGGCGAATAAACTAAGAATCAGATTATCAGAAGATGTCACTAAGATTTGGCAAGTATTTTCTTAGATATGAAATGGGGTGTCCCTCAATTTGAATGTAGAATTGCATATCCTATCCTAGTCATTCAACTTTACTAACATGTATTGGCATCCATTGATCTTTACTTTGGTGTCACCCAGAGGCTATGTGGTGAACTGCAAAATGCCATTCTGCGCCCGATACCAGATTGTGGACACATCCCTCATGTAGAAAAGCCATCTGCTGTAGCAAACTTGATCCTTAAATTTGTTCAAGAAGACGACTGTGGCGTTACCATGTGAGTGTGTCCACTTGGCCAAATCCAACTGTTCTTGTACTTAATCTTGCTCAACTTCTGAGAATTTATCTAGATACCAAGGTATTTTTTTATTACCAATAGCAGTAATTTTTATTTGAATTAAAGTGTAATAGATCATACTATCATAAATCATAGGTATATGAGAGTAGTTATAGACTTATATGAGAGTAGTTATAGACTTATAGCAGTTTAATACATCTATGATGTGCTAACTCTTTCTAGTTCTGGGCTCGTGCTTGTGAAATGGCAATGAAAGCCCAGGAATGCATCGAGTATAAATTAATTACAGTATCAATTTTTTCCCTTAAAATATACAGACTTCGTAATATTATAGATGTGATGTAGAATAATACTTCACTTCGTATTAAATGTTTATGTGCCACCCTTCCATTACTCGATAAAAGGCATAGTACGCTCTGTCTGACCATTGACCAGTGCATCTGTGCACGGTTTTGTCAAGTACTCGTACAGTCGCACTCTTGTAGAATTACTTGAGTTTTTGTATATGCATGATGGTATGGATCTTCTACTTGTGATAAATCTGATGAACAGCTTAGCATGGTCCTTACACTTTCCCTACCTTTTATGTGTAAGTGCTTTTGAATAATCCTGATGATTTAGCATATCCGCATATGCATGACGCCATTGCCATAAATACTACTTTTTGTTTAAGCTAAAGTTGGGATTGCGCGGAGTTAGGTTTAATAAAATAAGATGTTAGTGGGGTAGACACGGTAATAAAAAAATTGTAAGAAAAGATAGTGGGTTATTTTATTGAAAAGTAAAGTGGTGTGAGAGAGAGCGAGAACCGCTGGAGGAGTGAGAAATAATAAAATAAGAGTGGGTGGGGACCATTAATGGGAAAAATATATTATTAAATTGTAAAGGTTTCTAAAAGATGAAATGTAGCTTTTTTAAAAAACGGACAAAATAGCATGTGCAACTTTTAATAAAAACAGAGGGAGTATGTAAATTGATTTTGCATGACTAATAGGTTGTGAATGAATTAATCTGTAATTATGTTTATTTATTGTAAATTTAAACAAGATTACTACAATACTACTCTCCATGAACTCAACTGATTTGAAAGGCTTGTAACATAAGCTCTCAAAGATCAATGAATAAAGCATGAATATTTAATTTTGATTGAGTCGAGTTTGATTGTTTGAATATAATTTGAACTCACTTAAATCTAAATTTGAATTTAGATTTTTTGAAGATTGGTTAATCCATTGGGTTAATGCCAAATTTTAAAAAGATGGCTATGCACGGGCGTGTCTCTCAAATCGTGTTGAATAATATTTTGTTGGATTTGGACAACTTTCTTGCTGACCTGACCCATAGAGATATCAATTTGGATGATCGGATCTGATAAAGTTGTGTCGGTTGAGTCATGCTAAATTATTATGTCCATACAAGTCCAAATATGAATCGAATATTTTTCGGATCGATTTTGGATCGAGTCTGGTATGGTTTTGACACCTTTACAGCCATGCTACAAGTCGTATAACTAGTTGGGTTCCTTAACTTCCTTTGGATTTTCAAATACGAAGTCTGAACAAGAATGTGATTTTAGAATTAAGAAGCAAAAGATTTGTGTGTTGGGGCCTTGGGGGGACTTGGGGAAGGGAGAGGAGGGGGTGTTGCAAAAAAGTGGCTACTGCACATTTACCAATGCCGTATAGTGTATTTGGAACTAAGATGTGACTTGTTAAAAAGCGAATAGAATAATCTACCATTAGAGTCATCAGATATTAACCTTGAAAGCTACATACTGCCATACACCCAAAAAAAAAAAAAAAAAAAAAAAACTCATCCAAAAGTATGATTCCTTTATTTTTGCAAGTTGTCATCTACAATTTGCCAGATTTAAATGACAATTATTGTTACATGACTAATTAAACAAGAAAAAAATTAAAACCCCCACCCCCACCCCCCAAATCAATTTATCTTCTTTTTTTTTTTTTCATTACTAGAATGTATCCATGCTCCCTCCGTGTTTTAATAAGTGCTACATTTTGATAGGCACATAGTTTTAGTCAATTTAATTGACTTAAATAAAATAAGAAGTGAGTGGGGCAGTGGGTAGAATGTATCCATATAGATTTAATTGTAAAAGAAAACCAATTTTAAAGTTACTCCGTATAGATTTGTCACAAGGTTGGAACTTAAAAGGGAAAGGATCATTATCCCCCTATACAATGGTATTTTTAAAACCAAAGAAGGAGGCTGAGACTAGGGGCAAGATTAGAACCCCCAACCTAGTTCAAAAGGTTAAATAGATAGCCATGATGTTACAATTTTTATATGTACTTAGTATATTGTAGTTTTTGATCTACACAAGATTGAAGTACCTCCGCTTAGACATAGTTTTGTCCACTGGGAGAGTTCAACTAATCCAATTAATCTAGATTTTGTCGCTCTAGAGTCATTCAAATATTCCCTCCATTTCTTTTAAATACAACACTTTCCAAATTTACCCTTTTTTAAAAGTATACTTCTAAATTTGAGAGTCCAGGTTCTGCAGCCATATTGTTGCTCTAAAAAAAACGGAAGAGATACAAATGCAAAAGCAATTGTGTCCCACCATATGCATGAAAATGACCTAAAACATGGTTGATCCATTCTCACGTGGGGAGCCTTTGAAAATAAGATCATGTACTAATACTTCATTATTAGCCGCCAGCCAGCTGATGACATTACTTTTCTAGTGTTAATACACACTTAAGCTGACTAATACACTACCTAAATCAGTAAATCCAAATTCACATGTGCACCTTGTCATTTGTGTGCTCTAATCTCTTTTTTATTTGTAACGTTTTATGTTTAATTAATAACATAAATAAATATCAATTGGTTGTTGACGTAGTAGTGATTGGGGCTACACTTGGTAGGGAGAACCGCGTGTTCGATCCCTGCAACAACAATTGGGAGGGGATTGGAACCTAACCACCCAGAATTGATCCTCGACTCCGAATTAGCCCAAAGGGTGAATCAGGTGGAACACCCAAAAAAAAAAAATAACTAATGTACATTTAAGCATCAATCTTCTAGTACTTTCTGCTTAATGAATACAGTTTATGTCGTCCAGCCTAATACATACCAAAATTAGACACTCACCATGGAATAAGTTGACCTTCTTTGGGCTTTTCCAATATTAATTATTTGTAACATCTACTTCCTCTGTCCCTATTTTTTTGCCCCATTTGATTGTGCGCGGTTTTCAAGACGCGTTTTAAAACGTCTATATCGTTATTTCCATATATGTAAAAAAAATTAAAAAACATGATATTAATAAAAAATACAGTGAGATAAATCTAACAAGAGCACTCATGACTATATTATCTTTTATAGATTAACGTTAAATTATGATCAAAGTTTTCAAAATTTGACTCAAAAAATGGCAATGGAGCAAAAATAAAGGGACAGAGGGAGTAATTATTATTCACATGTAATATTGAGCCATCTTTTATAAGTGTGTGCACATGTTAGTTGTCCAAAAACTCCAAATTAGATGTGAGATGTAATATCAGTCTATAGGTTTCGAAATGCATGGATAGCTTCGACTCATATACAGTCTAAACTGAGAACAAACCATTATGTTATGCGTGACTTAAGAAAAAAGCCCACATGTGAGTTGATATCACATTGAAGAAGAAAGAGGATGATTAAGTTCAAATTTACTATAGTGGGTTATTTGCCTATTACCAATTAATACAAAAAATGTTTGTGATCACTCTCGTTCGATCATTCGGTGCTTTTTTTTTTCATTTACAGATAAGGTATACGGGGAGCCTCCTCCTATCACATAAGGGGGGGATGAGATTCGATCCTCAATCATTTGAAGCATATAGGCTCATTGAAGATGTATCACTTTGATAAGTGCCGTACAAGAAGGAATATTAGGTCATCTTTGTTGCTTTCTTAATGTATTTATTTCAGGCAAAGAATCCATTTTGGGGAGGGTACAATAAGCATTACTGATTACTCCGTATTCACAAACTTATTGGTGCACACTTATTAATCGATTATTGTACGTCCCTTGGTGCTTGCTACTTTGGCTCATTTCGATGTTGACATTGTTATGGGAATATAAACAGAATATTGAGCCCCAATTCTTTAGACTCCTCGTGATGCTTGAAAGATGAGTCCTTGGCCTCTTGGTATTTGAAAGGTGAATTAAGCCTCGATTCTATGTGTCCCTCTTTTGCACATCTTTAATAGGGTTCGCTCTTGAATCACGTATAAACAAAAATTCATGAGAAAATTACACGTAGTTTAAAAAGAAATTTGCACATCTTTGGTTATTGACTTTATTTAGTATCTCAAGCAAATATTTTAGATAAGATATGATTTTCTCATTAGATTATAATATTAAACAAAATAGTACTACTACATCTAAAGTCTCTAGGCTAGCTAAGCATAGATTTACATGTTTTTGAAAATAGATTCCGATTACAAAAAGGCTAAAAAAAAGGCATTAGGAGAAGATGATGATGTTAGTTCATCCCGAATATCAAATTCTCCTAGCATTACCCACCGCTCAAAATAGAATCAATGCCCACAAACCCTAACTTTTCACACCACAAACAAGCTAAAAAAAGAGGAATATTTTCCAAAGATAACGAAATGGGTTACGAATTGTCCCTTTTTGATGATTCCCTACTTAAAAACTTACAATTGCACCAAAATCTCGTCCATTGATCTAAGTCGCAAAGTTTTACTAGGCATGGAAGACCAACAAGCCTGAAATAAGGATCAGTGTAAGCGAGAAAAGGGTGCCTTGGATGTGTTGGAACGTAGACGGACTACCATTATTTGAGTTATAGTCGGGCATGCCACCAGTGGGGCCAAGACCAGGGCTAAATATTCCACCAGGGGGGCTATTCAATCCAGTTGTTGATCCTCCGGTTCCAGTGGATATGCCTCCTGGAGTTGAGGATGGGATACCGCCAATACCACCAGAAGAAACCGAGCTGCGAATCAGAAACAGCTGCATTAACCTTTTAAATTTTTCTTTCACCAAAAACACTTAATGTTGAAACAACTATGCAGTTCAAATGTTGACATCAAAAACTAGATTCCATACACATGACAATGATCAAAGATAAGGTAATGATTCCACCAAATAATGCCAGTCACAAAACACCCAAAAAAATCGAAAAGACAACCACCAATGCATGGGAGAAGAAAAAGAGATGCTCGCTTCCAAATATGCAATACAAAGTAATCTAGTACGGAGTATGTCATTTTTGTGGTCGTGTGTACCCACAACCTTAGTCCTAAATAAATCCTAACCATCAACCTTATGTTACTCGTATAAGTAAGGCTAAGCTATAATAATTTGTACTAAATTAAGCATAATTGTTGCTTTTAAACACACTAATTAGAATAATTACCATCACAGCCAAAGACGATACATTGACAAATCTAGCACGTTCATAAATCATTATGAGACAAGCAAACATTCACCAAGAAAATATTCACCCACCTCATATTTCTGAAAGTAAATTTACATTGTCAGAATTAATTAATAAATATGCTCACCAAATATGTCTCGCTTTCTGGTTGAATGTATTGATGAAGTGTGCAAAAATGGCAACAAATTTAAAGACTGAAATAAGCACACATGACATTACACCCGCATGCACCAAACTGAAGAATAAGAAAGAGAGAAAAGAAAAAAAAAAAGACTAGTACTGAACTAACAGACATCAAACTAGTTGTATTATCATCGGATGCCCCAATTAAATAATTAAGCATCAACGTCGTGACAGCTTAATCTCGATGAAACAAAAGATATGAAACAAAAGATACTTTGATTTTGTACTCCGTACATGTTTAAGCATGATTTAGGTAGATCTACGTGGGTTTATTAATTGATTAACTTTATAGGAAATTGAGTTTCTCACTTTTCACGAGTGTATCGATATCTAACACTGCACCAAAACGGGCAAGGGCATGCAATGCCTTAGACCAAATCTGAATTATGATACATGGAGTACATCATTAAATTTGTTGTCAAGTAAGAACATCATGAAAGCGACTATGAAGGATTAAAGAAAAATGACCTTGTGGACTCTTCCATTTTGCAATAATGTTTAATGGTTGTGTTATGACTTAAAACCTCTTAAAAAAAGAAAACCATGGTAAAACCCGCAAGTTAAATCCTACACATCAACATAATTACATAATGCGCATCATACTCTCAAAAGAGAACACGATACATTCTTTTATTATTTTACTTTTGCATGTACATTCTTTCAAAAGAAAACCATGGTAAAACCCACATTTTATTATTTTACTTTTGCATGTACATTCTTTTAAGAGCATGATACACTTCATGCTCTTGACTGTGGGATCTAAGCATTGTGGTAATTTAAATCTACCTATAAAAAAGGCGATCAATTACTCCAAATTGTTATTGACATAATAATGTCTTGTGTTATGTCAAATACTTCTTATTAAAAAGAGAGAATTTTTCAAAAGACCTTTTTGTAAGAAGGTACTAATTGAGGTGCTTTTTAAGTGGAAAATTGACATAGAATCTTACAGTAAATTCACTGGTTAGAGGTGAAAAAACAGAGAAGCCAACATCATAGCTTTTTTTTTGTTTTCGCTTATTTTTTTCAATGAAACATGTTCCATCATGCAAATATTTAGCAAAAATCATGGAAACTATTTTAACATTAACATAACCAATTATATCAAAACCAAACCCAAAAATTTAAAAAAAATCAAAAAAATCAGCAAATCAAAAACTTAAGGATCCAAACAAGTCATACACATTTAGAAATATATAAAAGATAGAGAGATCATACCCTCCACTAGTAGGAAATGTGCATCCAGATGGCACAGCTAAAAAAAAATAACAAAAAAAAAATATTAGAATATAATCAAACAACAAATATTTAATAAGTAATCTTTTAAAAATATGATTGACTAGTGTAATTAATTAGAGAAGAAGACATAAACATACTGGAAGGGAGGTTGTTAGAAGGGGTGGCAGCACCAGAAAAAACACAGGAATCCTGAACTTGACCCTTATTCTGGAAATAACTATTAACAGCATAATCACAAACAGCCTTTGGATTATTTTGTACATAACAAGCTCCACCTGGTTGTATTGCTTTACAATCTGCTCCTGCTCCACATGCATAATCTATTACCCTCTGGTATGCTGTTGGATCTTGCGCTCCTTCTTTACAGATGCAGTATGTTCCACCTACATAACCCAGATTTTAAATTAGTATTTTTTTATTTTATTTTTTATTTACATAAATTTGGAATCTAGACATTTATACACCCATCATTTTGAAGATCAATTTTGTTGAAATTTTAGGATTTACCCATAACTTTTTTTGTGGAAGAAATGGGTAAAAAAATTAAATCTTTTGAGTGTTCAATTAGACCCACAAGCTTAAATTTTTAATTTTTGGTTAACTTTTGAGAAAATTTGAAATCTATGATTGTTTTGGCATAGGGAATGAAGTAAAGATTAAAACTTTTGAGTGTTCAAAGACCCACTTGGTTAATTAGGTTTTAAAATATTCAAGAATATGAGAAAAATTGAAATCTTTGATCGTTTTGGTTGAGGAAATGGGATAAAAATTAAATCTTTTCAGTGTTCAAGTAGACCCAAAAACTTACTTTTTGTTAAAAAAAATGCAATAAAAAGAAAAATTGAAGCCATCCATCAAATTTTCAGTTCATTTTGATTAAAAATCAAATCTTTAGAGTGTTAAAAGTAGACCCACAATCTAAAAACTTAGATTAAAGATTAAACATAATAACAACAGAAAAAAAAAATAGAGTAAAAAAAGGCTTACTTGAATAAGTAGTGAGGCTTAGAAAAAGTGCAAAGAACACTAAAACAGCCATGACTAGAGATGAAAGTTATGAGCTCAAAATCAAGCTTCAAATTAAAAAAGGCTTCTTTTTTTTTCTAAGAGAGAATGAAAGTGAAATAAAGAAGAATATTGAAGACAAAAAATTAGGAGAGAGAAATGGAAGTGTGGTGGGACTGATGAGAGAAGAAGTGGGGGGTTGGAACTTGGAAGTGTTAAAATTTGTCTAATAAGGTTTGCCATTTGTATTGTTTTTTTGGTCCTTTTTATACTCCAATACAAAGGAGAATACTAGGATGGCTGTTACTATAACTTAATTGTATTTTTCTAGTTGTTGAGGTTAAATGTCATTTTTATTACGTAGTAAAAATAAATAAATAAAAATTTATAAAATATGTATTTTTGTAGGGAAAGGTAAAATGTCTGTTACAGAGTACAGGGTATGCTATTCAAATTATAGAGAATCAACTCTTTGCATTCTACTCATTTCTACATATAAAATTTATATATGAGCATACTATATTTAATTTGTTTCAATAAATCAAACATATAATTATTTTTTTTAACAAAAGAATCATATACAAAGTATTTGTTGCAACTAATTAGGGTATGTTTGAAAAAATTATGTTTAGATAATTTCATAAATAAATTCAGCAGAATAAAGTCAGAAAATTCAATGAAAATGTTCAAACAAAACATGCATATTAAAAAGTTCATGAAAATACTCCATAAATAAGTTCAAATAAAAAAAATTTGAAAAAATTAGATGAATCAAACAAAGCTAGAAATTGAAAAAATTATGTTTAGGTGAGCATCGGAACCCTAAAATTGAAGCGTCGTGGAAATTGAAACCCTAGAAATTGTCGTAGCGCGGCAAATGTTGCTGTGACGCGACAAATATTGTCGTGTCGCGGCATTGTTTTTTCCGGAATTTCGTAAGTTCATTTTTATCTTTTTATTTTGCATTAAATACGGGATATTTTAGGCGCCGTTTCAGTGCTCCGGACTTATTTTAGGTTTTGGGTTTTAATATTTATTGATCGAGCTTAATTAATAAATATAATGAAATGAATTAAAAAGGGTTTGGGCTAAAATGAGGGTTGGACTATGCTTTGACTAAACATTTGGACTGATTTGTAAAATGTGTTTGACTGAATGTGGATTTTAAGCACTCCCGAGATCAAGTACTCGACCTGACCAATAATGGCGGTGAAAGGTTGTTTATCATCGGGTTTGGTTTTGGGGAGACATTTTTAGATGTTTACACTTATCGGATCGGGCAATTGTTAATTTTAAAATGATACCAAATAACCATATCTGATAACAAATTATCAGAACGGGTACCCGAACCGTTAGGGTTATCGAATTGGGTACCCTAATTTTCGGAATGGTTACGGATCGTGTTTTCTATTTTTCGAGTAGTTTTGCTCAGCCCTTACTAATACCAACGAATGCAAAAATGTTTTTTTTGGTATCAATATAATAACTGGTTGGTAGTATTTAGATGATACCATTTTAACATAATTTAATACCAACGCCAATTTTTAAATGAGCTGGATCCACAAGCAAATTATGAAAAAGCCCCCATTAAAGTCTTCAATGCCCTCAAATTATTTGAGATAGAGAATTTCCCGTAAATTAATCCTTGAAGATAATATCAAAAGTCAAAGGGTAAAACGAAAACATACTCCGTGAATGATACTCGTATGTTAAAACAAAATTCCAGACCCTGAAGACTAAAGAAAGGTGAGAAGAGAACATCTCGTAAAGGTGGAAGAGCAGAGATACTTAAGCAGTTGAAAAAAACAAGGAATTGTTGTTTTTTAGGAAGTTGAAGACAATATTTAAGTAAAGACTAGTCATACTACTGTAGTTTAAGTTACAAGGAAGATCTTGGACTCTGGGAACATGGGTTTTGTTATAAGTAATCTTTTTTTCTTGTCAGCAAATGCAAATTAAAGGTTCAAGTGTACTGTGTTTTATGTTTTGTGTCCGTGATTCAGTGGCCGTTCCAACGGTCTTTAACTCATTTGGGTTGTGTGAGATTAGAATTTAACCACACTTCAACTTCACCCTGGTTAAGTTTGGTTTGCATTTTGCACGTGGGACCTACACTAATATTGAACCTTAAATTAGGCTCTCAAGCCTCCTTTCGTTCCATTTTGTTTTATTATTATTAAGATTTAATTTAGTTGCTTTTTAATTTATTTGTCGAGAGTAATTGAAAATGTAAAATTGACGAGATCAATTGTATTAAGTGTGAGCTTTAAGCGGTTTTGATTTATTTTTAATAAAAATGAGTCAAACAAAAATGGTAATTACTTCATAAGTATATTGAAATACTTAATTATATATGCCAGAAACATTTTTGTAAAGCTAATAGCACGTATTGTAGAAGCCAAGTACGGAGTACAATATTATGTTTGGTTATAAGAGCGGATAAATTAACTAGAGAAACCTCGACTTTAAAACCCTAATCCAAGGTCCAATAAAAAAAAGCTCAAATCTTGCATTATACCTAGCCATTAAGAGGCATGAATACTCTGTATGTATAGCGAATATTAAGTTACGGAGTAAATGTGTAGAAGCACGTATTACAAGTTAGTTGTAAATCAAATATTGCTTATTATTATTAGTGAGTTTTAGTTGTTGTACTTGTACGTGAATGGTAGGAACAGTCAACAAAAATGGGAGTTTCAATATCAAGCAAGTCAAACTTCAAATGAAAGAATGCCGCCATGCATGTACATTTGTGAGTCGCAAACTTTGAAGGAATAATTTACACTTTTTAAACCAAATTGCGATGTTACAATTCTACCAACTTAGCATACCAATCTACCATACCACCATACGCACACACCAAAATGAACAAATTCAATCTAACAATTAGTTTTTTTTTTTTTTTTTTTTTTATAGGTGGATAAAATCATAGAATAATATTCCCTTTATCTCTAAAAACTTTGTCTAAGCAATTTTGACTTGTTTTGTAAGACGATCGTCGTCCATAAGGAATTAAGCAAGAGAAAAAAATATAAAACGATATGAATGCATGTGGGGTTGGAGTGGGAGCCTTCGTAGAAATGATGCAGTAATATTATACTATACTTGTAGTATAGAGTATTTCTACTCTGAAAACTGTTACATTATTATACTATACTTGTAGTATAGAGTATTTCTACTCTGAAAACTGTTACATTTAAATAACAATCGTTATAAAAAATGTTGCATTTACACTCCTTTACACAACCCTTAAGAAAGAAAAGATCAGATAAGAGAATAATAAAAGTTGGGTAAAATTCTTGCTATTTTTTCAAGATTTTGGTGGCAGTGGCATGAAAGCTAATGGAAGCTAAGTTGTTTGATGCGATGGAACCAAATTAAGAAGCTCAACTTGTAGTTGTAGCAAATTAGCAACAACGTTGTCTTTTTAACAACTGAGTGGGCCGCCCGGCTTGCTTCAAGCCCAAAATTTTCTAAAGTTGATACGACGAGCCAAATTGGCAAAATCCATAAAGTGTAATTTTGTATTTCCTACACACAAAAATAAAAAAGTCCATTTGTTTCTTAAAAATATGGTCTGCAATTTAAGATCGTGGACAATTGATTTTACATACAGGTACTGAGGTATATTTATTATTTTCGTGAATTTGGAATCGTTAAAGCATCAACACTCATGGCATAAAAAGTAGACCATGGTGTGAAAAAATCCAAAATCGGTAAAAGATCTATTACACTCATGGTATAAAATTATAGCATGTGCATTGCTCGACTTGAAACATGAATCAATCAGGTCACGCCACATAATTTAATACATATATTCAAATTTAATTTTTGCTATTGATTGTATTTTAAAGTTTTATCAACTACGAAGTAAATAAGTTGGAATCCACAACTAAACATGACATGCATTGTCAACTTGTTAGGTGGAGATTAGGGGGCGTTAACAAGCCGACCTTGTTTGTGAACTTCTCGATTCTCATTTTGATCAAAATTTGATCAAAGCTTGGTTGGCCTTGATATTTTAATAAGCCAAGCCTAGGCAGGATATCCTTGGCTTGGATCGAAGATTCGTAAACAATCTCAATTGTTTTATATTAATCGGCAAGTCTTGTGTGTGGCTATATTGATTTATAAAAGTAATTATTTGTTTATATGTCTGAGCTTCCTTATTTATTTATAAAAGTAACCTCATTTTGTCAATATAAAAGTAGCCTAAATTCATTATACGAGTAAAGTAAAGTAATATTAAAAAAAAAAAAGTAACCCTATTTGTTCAGTAAGTAACCCGTAATTTTAGTTTTAATTAATGTAAGAATAATTTCACTTATTTATGAGGGCGACCCCATTATCACTTTGAAGTAACCCACATAACCTCATTTTCTCCTCATTGTAACCCCTATTATATTATTAATTACCTTTATATGTGAAGTGGACACACCATGTGGTAGACGTATATAAGAATTTATGAATATTAATGTGTTTTAATAATTTGTAACCTAAATTGACATATGGGCCTTGAGTGTTATTGTCATAATTGGGTTATTTGAGAGAGTTTAATCATCATTTACATTTTAATTTGATAACAACTGGTGAATCTGAGACTAGATCGATTATTTGACAATTAAGTCTCGAGCTAAGCTCACGTCCAGGGGTTCTTATATTATACTGCATATAAGTATCTAACTTTGTTAAAAAAAATACTTCGAGGTTGTTAATAGACTCTTAAAAAAAAAAATTCAATCTAATGCTGCAACATAGTTTTTACTTTTAAGTCCACAAACAAATCACTATACGACTTTAAAATTTGTAAATTAAGCACATTCATTACGGTTACGGAACACGAATGGGTTACCACATCAACGTGTTTTTTTTTTTTTTTAGAAAAATGTAAGTTGAAAACATTATTGCTAATCGAATTCTATCAAAATTAGATAATTGTGGGGAGAATAAATTCATATACGCGTTCAGAGTTACCATTAGTGTCCCATCTAGCTACAAGACTAGTCATGATACTTCTGGCTCTTTTCACATGAGGAAAACAAAAGGGGGAAAATAAGACATTTTTCTAATATCTAATAATTTACTACACATTATCGACTTTTAAGCATTCCACGATAATAAACAAGACATTTTTCTAATATCTAATAATTTACTACACATTATCGACTTTTAAGCATTCCACGATAATAAAATTTCGAATATCATAAACCTAACACATTCATTACAAGACACATAAGGGCTATTCAGATCAATTTTGAGTTCATGTCATTTTGAGAGATTGATTTCTAACACTAGCACATACCTACCTATGTGTTAGCAACCTTAGCATTAGATTTGACCATAATGCCTCCTAAAACATTATCATCACTAATGAGTTAGAAAATGCGCAACTTAGTGAGTCTCTCCCTCTGCTAAACCCTAGCCAGTCAGTCTCCTCTCTCATCTTCTTCTTCAACCTTCACTTTCTCTCTCCTTTTTGCTTCAGATGCATTCAAAAATGGCGATGCTTACCAAATCACGATCCCTTTTCAAAACCCTAAACCCTAACATCCTCAAATCAATCTCAACTTTCTCTCTCCTCAATCAAGAAGCTCAGCTTGCCGAACAACCGCCACCACCACCGCCGTCGCAATCTCCGTCGCCTCTTCCGCCGAACCCCTCTTCCGGCAGCCCCATGTACAACGAGAACTGGCGAAGCCCTATTCCGTACAATGGTACTGGAAATCAATCGATAATTCCATCTGGGAATTTCAATCGAAGCCCTGCTGCTTTTATTCAAGCGGCTGCGCAGAAGAAGGATGCTAATTCGCTTTTGAATTTGTTTGCTGATTGGGTTACGACGAAACGATGGAGAGATGTGAAGCATTTGTTTGAGGTTTGGATCAAATCGTTGGATTTTAATGGGAAGCCTAATAAGCCGAATGTGCAATTGTTTAATCATTACTTGAGGGCGCATTATAGTGATGGTGCTACTGCTGCTGACTTGCTTGATGTGGTTAGTTCTATGGAGGGTTTCGCTGTCGAACCGAATACCGCCTCGTTTAATTTGGTGCTTAAGGCTATGCATCAGGGTAGAGAATATGAGGCTGCGGAAAAGCTTATTGAAAGGTTACATATTCAAAGTTTTAAATTTTTGCTGATTAATCTACATTGCATTAATTTAAGTACTATATTTAGTTTTTGTTATGGAGAAATTTGTGGTGTTAAATGCTAGTTTTGTTTAATGTTAATGTGTCAAATATGTGTTTATAGTTAAATTAGTTATATTTTTTTTGAAAAATAAAAGAAATGGATAATATATGTGCTATACATAGCTATAATGAATCCAATTGGGAATGAGGAAGCTTGAAGCTTAATGTTAGGTCATGCTTTTATGGCGCATTGGGAACTAGGACATTAGATTTTTTAGAAGGGTAATGGAAAAATTGTGATGGTAATACGTTATGTTTTGGTAACAGAAGCTGAAATTGTAAAGAAAAAGACTTAAAAATGGGTAGATTTTATTTTGACACCAGTATTGCCTCCCTTTTCGAACCCGAGGGAAGAAATATACTCTTTAGTTGATCGATTCTTGAAGGAAGCTTTATTTGGTTTCTGTGATGGTTGTGGTTTGGAACCTCATAAACTCTACTTGGATTTCACTTTTAGTTTGCTATGTTGCTTCATATATTAGTGCCTTGGCAGTAGATTCCTGTAAGTTTTCATGAAACTGTTAATACAATTCCAAATTACGTCCTTTTTTGGTGTGTTTGCGGTCCATTTTGGTACCCAAACCATACCAAATTGTAAAGGACACCGCAAATTCTAAAGGACATTCTATAATTCTACTGTAGAGCCGCATGAGATTGTCTATAGTAGCTGCTTCAACTGGTCAGGACAGACAGAGAGATGCTGTTGGGCATTGCCTATTTGCAATATATTGGTTTATGAGCTTTCACATTGTTTAGAGCACCTTTGGCAATGACTTAGACATTGGATCTTTTTAGTTACTTTTTCATTCAAGTTTACATTACCTATTTATGTCTGAAAGTTGCTTTGGAAGCCTATCTGCAGATGGGTTTTCTTCATAACGAACATTTCACTTTTCATCCATTGGAATATCACCAATAATTCTTGTTGTTGTGCAGCTGATTTTGTTTTGGTCACTTTGAGCTTGTATGAATGTATTGCTCTCTAAGTGTCAATGTGCAATAAGTATGGATTCTGTATTGGTGAATGCTCTCAAAACACCATTGGCCCCCTACCACCTATGGCATAAGTTTCACTACTTCCACCATGCTTCTAATGGCGATGGAGCACTATAGCTCAATTGTTGTGTTCTTTGCTAGTACACTAATTTCTGCTTCATTTAACTGATTAATATACTTTTGCTTTGGACATTATTGGGTTTCCATTTGAAAGTTGATGAATTTGATCAGGAATGGAGATTTTATCAATCATTGTGTCATGTGGACACCCAAAAAGAGCCTTGTCTTAGGCATATATTTATTTCTGTGATTTTTGTTTTCCCCCTTTTCGCGGGGTGTCCGTAAAAGGGTTTTTGAACCATGGGAAGTTAATGGAAGCCCATCCTTGTGACTAAAAAACTCAAATAAGCTGATCAATTGTTACGAGAACCTTATTAGATCTCTGATCACTTCACATCAGTGTGTATGCGTGTGTAGGGTGGGGAGGATGTTGCCCTAATGCTATTACACATCAGATGAAGTGCCCTGGAGCTTTCCCATTTTATTGGCAGTAGGTAGCTAATACTTTGAGTTGACTGGACGATATTCTATTAGGACTCTGAGCTCTAGAGCTTCTTTAGTGAATGCATTCCCTGCCTTTTTTGGAAAATGACGGGTCTGAAAGGAAGCACAAACACTCCTATGAAATATTTCATAGTTCTCTTGTTTGTTTGCCTATCTTGACTGTGGATGTTTTAATAAATCCTTAGATTTTGCAGTGAGAATCTAGGAAATTGCAGGTTTTGTATTCTTTGGGCATACAGTCAAAGTTGTTGTTTGGTGGTCCCTTACAATTACCATTTTACTTTGAGGTTGCTGATTGGTGAATTCGTTTATGCTTAATTATATGGTATATGAGTCATGATGTTTTGGTTTATTACCTTTATAGTTTAATTCTCTGCCTGCCTCTGCCTCTGTCTCTATCTCTGCACAGACACACTCAATCACATTCTCTTTCAATTTGAGAGTGTCCTTCTATGAGTTATACACAAAATTTTGAAGCTGTTTTGTTTGCAATTGGTCTGAGATAATAAAAACGGTAACATGTTTATATCACAATAATACTGGTGAATCAATTTGCTGTTCTTATGATAATACTGTTTCATCTCTTAGTAATTTTCAGTTGATGTATTCTCAATGGCTTTTTAGGTTTTGTTTTATTTTCCGTTTTTCATTCTTGCGGTATTTACATTAGTCCTTTGACAGATGAATCTTATTCTAAATTTATCTAGGATGCTGCAAAGTGGGAAAGAGTCTCAGCCTGATGAGGAGTCATATGTTTTGGTTATTAGCATGCTGTTATCACAAGGCCAGATTGATACCGCCTTAAAATATATAGATCTAACTCTGAAATCTGGTTATATGCTGTCAACAAAGGTTTTTGTTGATTGTGTCCAAAGCTGTGTTGACAAGAAAAGATTGGATAGTTTGGTGACGATTATAGAAAAGTGCAAGGTATTGTTTTGATTGTTGCTTGGAGACTCATGTGAGATATGACTTTGTGTTCTCATTTTGACTATTTCTATGCATCATCAGGCTATGGACCAAAATAAAGCTCTGAGCCCCAGCTGGAACTTGTGCAACAATCTTGCAGATGTTGCAATACAGAATGATAATAGCAAGCTGGCCTTTCTAGCTTTAGGATTTATGGCTAGATGGATTCAACTGGGTGAAAACGGGAGGCCCCCTTTTTTTCACTCTGTTGATGAAGGATTAGTTGTTTCTGCCATTGCTACAGCTGCCCGGACTTACGACTCAACTCTTTTGGATGCATCATGGGCCATCCTAAAGAGATCCTTGCGTGAAAGAAAGCCTCCCAATCCAGAAACCTACTTGGCTAAGATAAATGCCCTTGCTTCCCTGGGAAGCTTGCAGAATGCTTTTAGCACTCTGAATGAACTTGAAAAAACACATGGAAGTTCTGCAGGGGAAGATCTACTGTCACCATTCACTTCTCTTTATCCATTAGTTGTGGCATGTTCAAAGCAAGGATTTGAAACTTTAGATCTGGTAAGTCTTCTGTTTTGCACCTTTCTATTTTGACGATTTGGCTTCCTATCATTTGAATTCCGGAGTTGCCGATTATCTACCCTTTTCCTAAGGGTATACAGATGAAATATATGTTTAGAGCTGATAGATATCATAGGCAGTGTTATATTCCATTATTGACGGTTATATTAGCATTTAGTTATTCAATTGTGTTTCTGAATTTTCATTTACAAGGTTAAAAGTTTATCAATTTTGACCTTGATCTTTACTAATATGTTTGAGAAAACATTATCATGTGGGACTACTGTCATTAATCATTATTGATTTCCTTGTAAGATATTTGTTGTGCACTTAGTAATTTAACATTTTTTTAGTTAAATATGTTCAGTTTAACAAAAACAAGCTAGGGAAAACAAAAACAAAAACAAAGTGTCATATCTCTCAATTAGGTGAATGTATTTTATAAAGTGTTTAGGGGCTCAAATTCTTTTGGGTTTGGATTTAGCGCTCAAATGTTATTTCAGTTCTGTACTTTTGTCAAAGGTAATTTTTTCAGAGAAGTTTTCTTTCTGCTTCCCAAAGGGTAATTGTTAAAGGTTGTCCTTCACAAGGTGATTGTTGATTTTTCTGATTTTTGCAAGTATTGATGACAGTTTCACACATCATATTCTGTACCCCATCTCCCCCCCCCCCCTCCCCCCCACCCTCCAACCATGAGATTGTCGTTGGTTAAAGCTTAATTACTCTATCTCCTCTTGATTGTCATGAGTATCCCCCACCCCAAAACCATGAGATTGTGGTTTGTGAGAATTGAACATTTGATCTCTAAGGCTGCAAGATTAAAGCATAATAGCTTCTCCTTTCATTGAGGAGGGGGGTGGAGGATGGTTACGGTTTTCTCCCTATCTTAAATCTTGCGGGATTTTTTTTTCACTCTGGCTTCAAAATTCTTTCTGTGGATATTACTTGTGAACAAATTTCCATTGCATTCTCTTCCCTACATTTCCTTTTCCTTTCAGACCAACCATGCTTGCTAGAAATCTGTGTATAACTAGGGAAAGAATATTGTTTAGCATGTTTGTCATGGACTCATTGGAGCTAGTTGAGTGAGCTCTGCAGAATCCATTTTAATAGTCGTATAGGAAATATTGTGCTAGTGTGAGGAAGACTGGTGGAAATTTGTTTTTGGAGCCTACTATTGATGTACATATGTTTACTGTTGGATTTGAAAAATAGTGTGCTATTTTAACCTTTTATATTTGTAATTTTTTTAGGTGTATTTTCAACTAGAGAATTTGAGTCGTGCAGACCCTCCTTACAAATCTGTTGCTGCCTTAAATTGTGTAATTTTGGGCTGTGCAAATATATGGGACCTTGATCGTGCTTACCAAACATTTGAAGCAATAAATTCAACCTTTGGATTGGACCCTAATATACATTCATACAATGCTTTGATGTCTGCCTTTGGGAAATTGAGAAAGGTTTGGTCTATTACTCATTTAAATTTCTATTTTATGTGCTGTTTCCTATTGCTACAACTTAGCTCCATGAGATACATTTTCTGGTTGCAGACCTTTGAAGCTACAAGGGTATTTGAACATCTATGTAGTCTGGGTGTGAAACCAAATGCTATGTCATATAGTCTGCTTGTCGATGCTCACCTCATCAACCGAGATCCAAAGGCTGCTCTTACTGTACTTAATGCAATGGTAAAGACAATCGCCCATTATTTTTTTCCCTTGGCTTCATATTTCTCAAGAAAGACTGTTGAGGTGTTCATACTAATCAATCAATCAATCAAAGTCTTAATCCCATAAGTGGGGTCGGTTACATGAACAAAAAATGATTAATGTCTTTATTGAGGCGTTCATACCCTCTTAAAAGTGACCTTGAATAACAATGTGTCCTTTGTCTTGCCTCATACAAGATTTTGCTGTTGTCGTTGTGGCTTATTTAACCAACCTCTAATTTGGAATTACTCCTCGCAGGTGGAAGCTGGTTTTGAACCATCAAAAGAGACATTAAAGAAGATCAAAAGACGATGCGATCGAGAGATGGATTTTGATAGCAGTAATCAAGTAGCATCTCTTGCCAGGCAGTGCAAAATCTTTTTGGGCTCTGATAATCGAAGGAATATTTTGTTTAATCTGGAGTACGGCACTGAGTATGCCTCGTAGTCCATCATCGTTAATGCCAATTGGAAATTCTTTTTTAAGCAACCAAGTGGCCTTTTTGTTTGTAAAGAAGCATTTTTATTGTATTTTGAGTTTTTGGTTGAGCCTAGGATTGAGCTCTATTTATACTCCCCCTTTTCTTCATGTACCGATTTTGTTCCTCTTTTTCTCTGGGACATTTCATTGCAGTAAATTTTTCTAATTTTGACAGCTTAGGAATAATACAAAACTAATCCTAAAGTTTCAAATTTTACAATTCTAAGTTGAGAGTTGTAGTGACTAGTTATGGAACCCTAGGTCTTCAATGTAGGGAAATACCTTAGAGTGGTAAAATTCCTTCTAGTTACTTCAAATTTGTAACTTTATTATTTTATTAATACGAAGTAATAGTTTATAAAATTCATTGGTAATCCTGTGTTATAGCTCATTTGATTTGATAATCATATTTAATCTCATATCGCATTTGTAACATTGTTGTATTTTGTCAATTTTTTTTTAACTTAATTAGTTTAGGTGGTTAGTACAAATGCTCCTATGAAACACCATATTCTCTCCACCTATTCACCATTTTCTCTCCACCTATTGTTTCAAGTCTTTCTACATTCTATGTGCAATAATACAAGGTCATCAATGAGAATTTGCCCCTAAAACATCTAAAGTTATCCATCATATGAAATAATCAGTGCGCGTAAGATAGAGTTTGCTATGAGTATTATCTGGATCATTTTCGAAAAAAAAACATCAAACTACCAATTTGCTCAGATTTAAGAACAGAAGTATACCTTCTCTTTGTATCAACAAACATAAAAGGGAGCCAAGGAGCTTTGCTGCCTTCTGAAGGCTGTCAAAGAAAATGATGTGAGTAATTCGGGACAGAAGGGCTGGATTAAAAATATCACTAATTATATTGATTATTATTCAAGTACATTTATTTTTTGAGTTGATAAAAAAAAAATAATAGCAAATTGGATTGACAAAATTCAAATTTATCTTCTTAATACAGTTTAAATGGTATAATTTATTTATAAGTAAAACCGCTACTTATATTACTTATGTTACCGGCTTTATTCAACTTTAACTTTAAATATAACGAGACCGGAGATCCATCGATTGGACCAAGTCAAAACAGAGTTTTAGGAAATTAGGAGTAATTGAAGCCCAGAAGTATTTAAAGTTGATCAATCTTTAGAGCAACTCAGCCAATTGGTCAAAACCCAACCCCACCAACAACTTCTATTCGTGAAGAGTTTGGATCAAAACCATAAACCCTACTAAAATGTTGAGCATATAATCTCAGTTTCTGCAATAACAAAAACCTAAAGAATAATCAACAACCCAAAATTACTCGTAATTTTCTGAAAATGGGCGGAGGAGGAGCCAAAGAAGAAGAACAAGATGGAATGTCTGTACACTCTCCTTGCAAGGCCCCACCTTCCTCTGCTTCTTCTCTCTCTAAGGTTGCTCTCTCTTGCTGTTTTATGATTCTGGGTTTGCTTTATTTATGTGATTTTTCAAACTGGGTTTTTAAAATTTTTAAATTTATTGTTGGGATTTTAATTTGTAGGAGCAATCACAAGCAGAATTGGAGCTAAGATTTTTGGAGGCACTTGAAATTTACCCTCCTGGAAAATTGAAAGGCATGTTAATTTATTTTTTTCCCATTTCAATTTGTATAAAGTTTCTGCCTCATTTTGTTTAATTTGGGGTTTTTATAATTCCGGTTTTTTTCGTTTTTATTTTCTGAGAAATTGTAGTTAATTACACTGATCATGGTATATTTATATATAAATGCATGTTTGGTGACTCCTTTTGTTGTTAAATGCTGATATCATGTTCTATTTTTGTAAACCGTAATCGAAAATCAAAACAAGGTTATAGGCTTATAGCAATGCAACCTGATGAAAGAATAGCGCGGCAAGTATAGATATCTACATTTCTAGAATCACATTTAAATGAACTGGTAGTTAATCATCACATTCAATGAACGGGTGTCTGAATTATCGCTCTAGTTGGACTGCTTGAACTTGTTATTTAGATGGATTAAGATACGTAGTAGTTTGCTTTGATATTATCTAGAAAATACAAGTACGAAGTAAAATTTATGCTTATGTCTGATATGGTATTAACATTGTGATTAATGTAAATATGTAACTTCTGAGCTCGGATACAGTCTCTCTCTCTCTCTCTCTCTCTCTCTCTCTCTCTTTCTTAAGGCTCGGTTTGTGGACTCATGCCCAATTAGAGAGCATGTTTTCGGTGAACCCTCAATAGAAACCGATCTTCCATTTTGTTATATTTTTAAGGTGGGGATGAGTCCAAATGACTTCTACATTAGACCAAGAATGCTATATGGGTCCAAATGTTGGGCATTTAGGAATGATCATATTAGGTAAATGGGTGTAGCAAAGATGGGTATGTTTAGATGGATGTGTAGGAACACATTGAAGGATGGAATTAAGAATGAAGATACTTGAAAGAAAGTTAGAATTGTGGATATTAAGAATAAGATAAGGGGAATTGATTACGTTGGTATGGGCATGTGAGGTGGCTATCAAAAGATGCTCGGGTAACAAAAGTGTAGAGTTGGGATGATAGGGATTTTACAAAAACTTGAGGGAGGCCTAGATGACTTGGATAAAATTGAAGGAAGTAAAAATGATATGAAGAAATTGGGTCGACAAACTTTTACATGAACATATAACATTTAATAGAAGGAAATGGAAGGAGAGGGCCTTTGTCAACGACCACTAGAGATAAAGTTTTGGTTCATGCTCCCAACCCCGTCATTTTGGGATTAAGGCTGTTGTAGGAAATGAGTCCAGCATCTCCAGATGACTTTGAAGAACCTGTGGACTTCTGATCTATGGTCATTCTAGTTTAATAGGTTTTTGACAGAAATAGACTTGAATATGATGCTTAACCATTTCAGCAAAACAACACTTAATAGACTGTGATTCTTTGAAGACTGCACCTTAAAACAATGCCATCCTTTAGGCTATTTGTCTGAGCCCAACAACTATTAGTATGTGCATACTTGCTATTTACTTTCTCCTTAAAGTTGCAATACTTTCCTGACTCAGCAGCTTCCAAAAAACCATAACACATCTTTTTTGTTAAGTTTTACCATCCAAAATATAACAAATGTCCTTACATCACCATACCTTGTACTTTATTGAATAGCGCTAATCCATCTCCCTCTTTATCACTGCCTCCTTACCAGGTCATCCTTGCTTCCTTTAAAGACTACCACCACCTGCTCCTCCCTCCTGTTCTAGCCACATTACTCCCATTGTATATGCCCATTTTCATCTCTTCCTGTATTTCTGTAACACTTTTCCATGTGTCCTTTTTTCCTTCCCTTTTCTAGCAATGCCGTAAATCTAGAAATGAAGAAGAAGAATTTAGGAGATCAAAGAAGGAGAATGAAATAGAATAGTTGATTGAAGAAAAAGAAAAATGATGGCTCCAATAAAGCTTTGGATGCCTCCACTTGCTGGCATGATCCTATCAGTATTCCGGTGTCTCTTGGAATGCTCACCCTGGATTTGACCATCAAAGTCCTTTTCTGCATCATGCTCACTAGTGAAGCTGCTACGAATGTCTCGGTTCTTAATCTCTCTCTCTCTCTCTCTCTCTCTCATTGATTTAGGTGTAGGTTGTTGTGGTGGTTGGGATTGACAACGGGGATGTAGTGGACATGGATTGTTTTGGGGGGGCTATGGTGAGCTTGGCTGGGGCTGTCGTGGATGGGTGGAGAGAGTGGACCAGCGGAGTGGTGGTGAGAGTAAATGAAGGGTAGATGGGTAATTTAGATGAGTCTCTCCTAATTTCTAAATAAATGTTCCAACATCAAGTGTTGCATTTTAAGGAAGCAGAGGAAGTACATAATTATGAAAAATGTGAAGCCTCCATCTAATAGCAACTTGACAGCAGATTGCTCCACACAGACACAGTACACCAAAAAAGAAACTCTTCTCTTTACATTTCACTGAGACTAATGAAGTAATGAGTCATGCAGTGGATACATCATTGATCTTCCTTGGATATGGTTTGATAGACTTAATCTGTTTGCTTACGTGAAAGAAATAAATAACTCATTTTTGCCTTTTGTGGTGAAGAAACCGTTAAAACAAAAGATAATGTTGTGCTAGAATATAGTATTAGTCCAGTGTTTGAATTCTGAAGACACCAAAGGTAAAGCTCCATATTTAAATGAATGCTTGTAATTGATCATTGATCACTTCTTTTCTGTTATGCGAATAAGTTTACTATGAAGCACTTGCATTATATCTATTCAGTTTGTTTTTAGTATGAATTATCTGTAAATTACTTGTAAGAATACCATAATAGGATTTTCTGCTTCAGGCATTCACCGTCACTTTGTCCTTTATGGTGTGATGGAATTTCTCCGAAGAAGGTATGTGCTCTATTATTGTTGTTATGCATTTGCTTTCAAGAATTATTTATAAATGGTAAACTAAATTCAACCATGTTACATTGCTTTCCCTTTTTAATTATAACAGCTTTGATCGCCAATTCTCTTCTGAAGAGGTTATGCGCTTGCTTGACCGTTTCTACAACTTGAAGATGCTGGTAAGCAAGCTGTTGAGGATGAATTTACTCAGTCAGTGACTGATGGGAGGTTTATTGATTTACCTTACCCTTCTAATTCAGTATGGCCTTGATATTCTATTGCTCTACATGCAAATTCTCTCAGTTACAGGCTTACAACTAGGAGATTGTATTTAATTTTATGTAACTTTTTTAATTTAAGTGATCAATCTTGTTTTATTTCCAATTTCAGAGAGGAGATGATGAAGATGCAGAGTTCCCGCATCGTGAGGAGGAGTTCACTTTGCCACAAAGCTATTTTGCAAAGGATGAATCTTAAACAACTAAACTAGATGAACGTGTACATTTTTGTTCTAGTTAATAGCTCGCCAACATTGTCAATCTTGAACCAAAATTTTGAATCTATCCGATTATATCATATCATAAGCACTTCCTGTAAATGGCCTTAAAAATGTGCTCATTCTGTTATTATTCACAATGAAGGTTTTGTTCCATGGCTTTATCCCAATGTTAGGGGTGATTTTTACTTTTGCTGGTTCTTTTGCCTTTGTAATGTTAGATTTGCTGCTAGTGATCTTTGTTAGATCTTTCTTTCGGCGATTTGATTTGGCCGAATATTGTCATTTTTGTTGGAAGAAAAACCTGTCTAATGGGTCTTTTTTCGAATTTACTCTAGCATGAAGGCACATTTGCTCGAAGATTTTACAGCCTGATTGGTTGGACAAAAGCATGTTTCCGGTAGCAAGGGTTTAGGTATTTCCTTTTCAATCACATCTTCGAACTTGTACTCCTTTAGATATAGTTTAGGCATGCAAAATCTCAAGTGAACACATTTGTA